CGTACCGCCTGTTTTCTATTGGTTAAATAGGAACAAAGCCAACGCAGAGTAGAGCAAGCAAAGCCCAGATTCCTGGCCTTGTCAATCAAGATGTCGTGACAGACATTGTCAAAGGCCTTAGAAAAGTCAAAAAATACGGCTATAGTGATCCTCCTCTTATCAGCAGCCAGCCTGACCTCGTCCAAGACCCTTATGAGCGCCGTCTGCGTGGAAAAATCCTTTCTGTAAGCAGACTGAAAAGGGTCGAGAAGGTTGTGTTCCTCTAAGTATCTCATAATCTGGTCTGCCGCAATGCGCTCGAGGACCTTCGAGGTAGCACACAAGATAGAGATTGGCCTGAAATCATTTAGCACGGCAGGACTTCTAACTTTAGGGACGGGACAGACAATGGCCGACTTCCAGACCTCAGGAAAGACCCCGTGGGAGAAGCAAAAGTTAAAAATGTGAGTTAAGGCTAGGAGGATGCTCGGAAGCGCCCTAACCACCAGGCTCCGAGGTAGTCCATCCACTCCCATGGCATCCGACTTACTCTTGCCGATAGTCCGAACAATATCCAGGGGCTCAATGTTGCTCCAATAAAATTTTGAGTCATCATACGCAGTCTCGCCCAAGTAGATGGCCTGGATACAGTCCGTGTTCGACGTCACGTTGCACGTAAAGTGGTCAACAAGTTCCTCGCTGGTAAAAGCGAGATTCTCCGTCCTTGCTTTGGATTTAAGAAGACCGAATTTTCTGAGTTTTCGCCAGATCTCATTAGGCTCATTCAAATCCTGGAACTCCTCATGGAAGAACTCCGACTTAGCCCTCCGTACCTCGACCTGCACCAAGTTTCTCAGGCGTCTAAAGGTGAGGTAGTTAGCGTCCGTTCTACTCCTCATCCAGACTCTTCTGGCTCTATCCCTCTCCCTCATCCGGGATTTAATATCCTCCGTGAGCCAAGGTGCTGGCAGGTGCTTGGGTCGTATGACCCGGAAGGGAGCATGTTGGTCGTAACAAGTCAAAAGGAGATTGTTGAAGATATCAACTTTTGCGTCGACACTAGCTGCAGAGTAAAGCTCAGACCAGTTCAGAGACGCAAGTTCGTCGAGAAAATTCTCCAGATTAAAAGCTCGAAAATCCCGAACTCGGATGGTGCGCTCAGGGATCCGCTCTATCCTGACATCGTATGTGATGGCGATGAGATCGTGAGCGGATAGAAAGCAGACCTCACGCTGCACGTAATCGACAAGCTTATCAGACTCATCTATAAGGCACAGGTCAAGCAGGGTGGAGGCAGTACGGGTATGATGCGTAGTGGTGTAGGGCACAAGAAAAAAGTTAGATGCGCGAACAAATGAACGAATATGTTCCGAGTCAAAGGTCGAGGAACAAAGATCGGCATTAAAATCCCCGAAAATGATGGAGTGCTTGTAATTAACCGACAAATCAGAAAAGACGTCAAAGAAATCCGAAAATCCGCAGTGTGGTGGTCTGTAAACAACAGCTAGTAGTATCTTGGAACAGTTCCTGACAGAAATCTCAAGAATTAGATGTTCAGGACCTTCACAGTTGATGTTCCCGGATTGGCGCAAGATCGAGGCCCGGAAAGAGTTCGACATGTATACTGCCACCCCCCCACCACCTCTACCGACACGGTCGCATCTCAGGAGATGATATCCATATAGAGAGACCATATGATCAGGTACATGCGGTTTTAGCCAGGATTCAGATATGCAGATGATATGATATCCCGAACCAACGAAAAAGGATCGGAATTCATCAAGATGTGCAAGCAGAGATTGGCAGTTGACATGACAGAGACGAAGATGATTCGTAGGCTCATTATCCATAATTAATGCTGCTAATCCTTTCCGACATACGTCTGCGTAAGATGGGACAGTTCTTGTTGTCAAGGGCTGAATGTTGTCGTCCTGCTTGAGGCAACCATCGCTTGCAGTTCCCGCACTCCGGTGCCCCGCTCTTCAAGGTGCAATTCCTAGTTTCGTGACCGCCTGCACAGTGACCGCATATAGTCGTGAAACGACAATCTTTCGCGAAATGACCGAAAGCAAGGCATTTGAAACACTGTAGGACTCTTACGTAGTCAGTAATCTCGCAGGCAAAGTAGTCTAAAAATATGTACCGGTCTTTAAGCAAATGAGTGCGGATGTCCGGAGTGACCTCAATCACGCAGTTGGTCGTGCGCCGATTATCTTTCCGGGGAAAGATGTACACAACTTTTAACTCAGGCGCATCGTGGTCCTTTAGGTTGAGAGTGACAAGATCCTCCTTTATCTCCTCCCTCGACATGGTGCATGGCACTCCGCGAATCAGTAGCCTAAGGTTAATTTTGCCTTCCTGCTCCAATCTGAGTCCAGCGTCTTCAAGTTCCCGAGAACTTTTTATCTTGGGCAGATTCACAGTAAGTGCCTCAATACGCACACCGTTGTTCTTCGCTGACGTAATTCTGTTGACCTTAAGGTTGTACTCAGATGGCTTAATGGTCTTTTGCAGCACTTCCCTGGTTTCCCTAGACGTTTTGTACTTCGCGGAGAAATCCTCCTTTGGAGTAACAATCAAGTTGGTGGTTCTAGGTACCTCGATAGAGGAGCCGCGAGCCACCCGCACGCACGATTGCTCCGAAACCACCGCTGCATAAGAGGGCACAGAGGAAGCGCCGGCGTTCCTCTGCTCTATTGGCTGAAGATTGCCGCTCAAGCTAGCTGTTAATTTGTCGTGGGCATCAGACAAGGCGTCGCCTACTATGCTTCTGACCGTTTCCGCAATGTTAACCTGTTGAGAATCGCTTTCAATCATCTTAAGATATGCCGCAGAGAGTTCAATAAATGCCTCTTTACAAGCGCGAAAGGCCGAATCGATCTGAGTTCTCTTTTCAAGACTTTCCTTGCTAGTCAGTAACAGTCTCGACACATTGTCGTGATGCCTGTTAAGAGATTGCCTCAGGGCATTGACTTTCGAAGCATTTAATACAGAGTTTTGCAAATTCGCCGCCGATAATGTACGCGTAAGACCTTTCGTAATATTTATATTTGTGTTTTCCCTCTGCCCGCCGCCTTCCGTGTCCGCAGAAGTGGGAGAAGGATCCGTCGTCCGCTCCGGTTTCGACATATCGCACGAAAGGAACCAATGGGATGTGTCAGCGCATGCGCCCCTCACTCAGACTTCGGCAAGAAGATCGAGTTCCAGAAAAATCAATCGAGATTCACAGTGAAATAAGAGAAAATACCTCAGAGACTCTCGTGATCTGACCCTGAACAGGGAGAAGTAGCAAGCAATCAGGCTTTGCAGTCCGTGCACTGTAACGAGAAGGCCCCGAAGGGCCATAGACAGCAGAAAATATTCTCAGAATACAGAGCGATATTTGACACGTCTAAATGTACTTACAGCACGACCGAGAGAGAGAGAGAGAGAGAGAGAGAGAGAGAGAAAGCGAGAGGAAGAGTGAAAGAGAAAATGTTTAATAAAGTGTTAGTGAATGCTGATATTTGAGAATAATTATTTATATACATATATATACAATAATAATTATATAATTTTTAATTATACAAGAATATAAAATGTTCACGGTAGCTATTATTGTGTAATGGCGTATCTGTCGTCAACAGTCCTAGTTTAAGTTATATTTATTTTATATATATATAAAAGAAACATCTTAACCTAGAGATTAAGGAAATAAGAATGCGATTTTATACTTTATTAGAGAGCATTTATGGAATATGTTTGACTCGTTGGGCAGAACGTGTATAAAAAACGTGTGTTTAGAATAATTCTATATATGTGTATATATAAAAATTATATATATACATATATATATACTTATATATTTAATGAGATAAATTACATTGTATCATATCAAACGCAACTGAGGTCTCTATATATATCAGTTTATAAACATATCTCACTGTAAAGAAAACTCAATAAATTTATCATGTATCGTTCATATGATATATATTAATAATATATACCAATAATAATAATTTATAATTTTTCTTAGACATCTTCTTGAGACATATAATTCTAGTTTATTGGACTAAAAAAATTATGTAAGAGAAATATGTAAATTTCTTCCTTTAAACCGGTTAATGCTTTCAATATTAAATATTCGATAATATAAAATATTAAATATTTTTACATTCTTTTATATATCCCCTTTCTCTCTGTGCCATTTGTTACATATACGACGCACTTTGATACAAGATAAATTTATGACATTTGTATAAGAGAAAAAAAACATGTAAATTACAGCAAATGTAATGCGAGACTCTCTTTAACACTTGTTTTTACGGGTAGTATATATGATACGCAATTCACGTTTACAATGTAGTCCTCACTAGTTTAGTTAGATCTAATGAGTGGACATCACCGGTCAAAGGCGCTGAAACAAAAAAGGAAAATACTCATCAGCCTCGTGGAACATATATGATACGACAAGATCCCGTTGCTCTTTGAACTGCTGTTTCTTATGATGTCGCATTTAAAAAGTGTAAATATATATACTTTACGACGCGGAACGTATTGTATCGAGATTGCATGCCGCTTGCGCGAATTAGCAAATTGTACAATAACGATCACGACCAAGACGATTAATTGTAAAACGAATTGTCTCATATCGATGTGTACACACATTGTGTGCTGTGGTAGCTCCTATTTGTACGTTTCTGGCGTGTGTATAAAGTTTAACGTAATGTATTTCATAAATATATAAAAACGATTTATCGACGCGGAACGCTATCACCAGTTTGGTATATACATATATAAATACGCGAAATTGAGTTTTTTCTTCCGTCAGTAAGTATTCCTTTGTAATACGTGAGCTGTAAAGAATGTAGGACGTAACAGCAACTCGTCAAGTCGTAGATAATTTGTTTAAGTATTGGAGTAACTCTGTAGTTTATAAGTATGTTTAAACTAAGTGCAATGTGTTTCACGTGTATTTAAGTGAGAATAATGAATCGCTTCGGTGCGCACACCTTAAAGTAAACAAGAAACATCGCGAAATTCAAAACTTTCGACGGGAAATTGTTCAATGTAATATAACTTTCACGCGGTGATTTCGCGCGAGTTCGAGAATATTTACTTTCCATTTGAGAATCGAATCTTTTTACCGATTTTCTGGGCAACGATGTGCAGATTGCGTCAAGCACGACGAGCAAAGTTGCGCAGGATCATTTTTATCTACAAGCAGAAAATGAATTAATGATATAATGGACGAATGAATATTAATTGCACGATGAATCCCTGAGAACTCGATTGTTTAAATGCGGAAAATATATTGTAATAATATATTCTGTCTTCGATTTTTTCATGTGTTGTTTCTTCTAACGAAGAATTCGAGATACAAGAGAAGTGTCTGTATGATATTTGACCTGCACTAAAAATTGATGTACTTTTCCAAGTATTGAACACATTACACTATAAATATTAATTATAAATATTAACTAAAGTATATATAAAAATGACAATAATAATAATAATAATAATAATAATAATAAAAAAGTAGGTTTGTTATTTTAGCATATTATATTATTATTATGGTAATATTTTACAAATTATAAATAATATGTTATATTTACTCTTATTTTTACTTTTATTCTCATCATTATTTTATTAATATTATTAATAAATAATTTCAAATAACAGCATCAATAAGTTTTAGTTTTTTGAGTAATCATTTTATGTTTTTCATATTCTTACGAAATACAATAACTCTTAAACAATTTAGAGTCGTCCAACAACACAGCTCAATTTGCAAAATAATTTTCATAGTTAGACCAATCATTTTACCATAGTATAGGTAAAGAACTGTGATTTTCTCATGTCGAAATAACGAAAAGTATATCAAACGTTGGGATTAAATTTTGTAACTTATTATTTATAATTATTCTCACTACAAAAACTAATGCCACAAATCATTTGATATACAATAGGGTCGAGACTGTCACAGTAAAATTTCATATTTTTATCGCGTTACATACGTAACAAATGGCTTGATAGTAATTTGATAATTAATAACGTTAAGGAGAAAAGCGAAACATGGTCACCTACGATTGCAATTGCAAAAATATTGCAATCACGAAGGGAATCTTTGGAGAAATTTATGTCGATGCTTTGTTATTTCATAGAAAGAGCCTATTTTTTATTGTGATGGTAATAATAACGTAAAAGCCGTTTTTAATTGCAAAATTTGCGGAGAATAAAATACGTCGTTATGATAGTAAAGAATATTATGAGGAAACTGAAAGTAAAAGACTCGCTAGTTTTGACGCCAGTAAAATCGTACATGATGATCAGTAAGAATCGCTTAGAGATTGTCGTCATTTTCTGGGGTGCCACAATCGTTTCTTTGAAATATATACAAATAAGTTTGGCCGTGTCGCGGATGTTGTGCTTGGTTTCGATGATTTGAAGAGTACGAATTCTTGACGTAATTACATACATATTTATTCATCATGTTCATTTAATCTCGACAATTTCAATCAATTCTATTCGTAACTAATAACAATTTCGTTTTACAGACTATACAAATACCCAAATTAATCCGTTTATAGGATGTATATTGGGCAGATGCGCGAATCGCATAAGAAACGACAGTATTGTC